CACATGTTATTCTCAATTACCTCTCCCTCCCCTTGTCCTCCCCCCTACCCCCTCCCTATTCCTTCCAACTCCCCATCCCACTCCATCTCCCCTCCACTCCCCAGGGAGGGTAAGGCCTTCCATGAGGGATTTTCAGAGTCTGTCATGTAATCTCTCGGGCAGGGCCTAGGTCCTCCCCCATTAGCCCAGGCTCAGAGAGCATCCCTCCATGTGCAATGGGCTCCTAGAGTCCATTTGTATGCCAGGAATAAATACTGATCTACTCTCCAAAGTCCCTTAAATTGCCAAGGCCTCTTTTCTGATACCCAGGTTCTGGGGGGGGGGAAGGGTGTCTGGATCAGTCCCATGTTGGTCTCTCAGTCATCAGTCTGGGGTCCATGCATTCCCCCTTGTTTAGGTCAGCTGCCTCTGTGGGTTTCACCAGCCTGGTCTTGATTCCTTTGCTCATCACTCCTCTTTGCAACTGGGTTCCAGGAGTTCAGTTCTGTTTTTTGCTGTGGGTGTCTGCCTCTGCTTCCATCAACCACTGGATTAGGGTCCTAGGATGGCATATAAGGTAGTCATCAATCTCATTATCAGGGGGAGGGCATTTAAGGTAGCCTTAATGCCAGTTGGTGCCATTTTTGTAGACCTCACTAGTGCCAGATTCCTCCTCCACCTTATAATGTCTCCCTCTATTATGGTATCTCTCATCCTTCTCTCCTCTATTCTTGCCCTGGCTCAACCTTCCTGCTCTCCACCCCCTCCCCGTGTTCTCCTCTCCCCTCCTCTTCTCCCCCTCTCTTTCTCACTTCTCCCTCTCCCTCCCCTCCCCCCCTGCTCCCAAATCCAATTAGGAGATCTCCTCCAATAACCCTTCTCCAGGTTAAAATGCATATCTCTCTTAGGGTTCTCGCTGCTTCCCAGACTCTGGTAGTGGAATTGTAGACTGGCAATCCCCTTGCTCCATGTCTAAAATCCATATATGAATGAGTACATACCATGTTTGTCTTTTTGTGACTGGGTTACCTCACTCAGGATGGTTTATCTTGGGGTAACTCTAACCAAACAGGTGAAAGACCTGTATAACAAGTACTTTGAGTCTTTAAAGAAAGAATTTAAAGAAGATACCAGAAAGTGGAAAGATCTCCCATGCTCTAAGATAGGATCAACATAGTAAAAATGGCAATCTTACCAAAAGCAGTCTACAGATTCAATGCAATACTTATCAAAATACCAGCACAATTTTTCACAGACCTTGAAAGGACAATCAATTTTATATGGAAAAACAAAAGACCCAGAATAGTCTGAACAACCCTGTACAATAAAGGAACTTCAGGAGGCATCACCATCCCTGACTTCAAGCTCTACTATAGAGGTATAGTCCTGAAAACAGCTTGGTATTGGCACAAAAACAAACAGGTAGACCAATGGAATGGAATCGAAGACCCTGATATCAACCCACACATCTTTGAACACCTGATCTTTGACAAAGAAGCTAAAACTATATAATAAAAGAAAGAAAGCATCTTCAACAAATGGTGCTGGAGTAGCTGGATGTTGACATGTAAAAGACAGCAGATAGATCCATATCTATCATCATGCACAAAACTTAAGTCTAAATGGATCAAAGATCTCAACATCAACCCAGCCACATTGAACCTCTTAGAAGAGAAAGTGGAAAGTACCTTTGAATTAATTGGTAGAGGAGACCACTTCCTGAACATAACACCAGTAGCACAGACACTGAGATCAACAATTAATAAATGGAACCTCCTAACACTGAGAAGCTTCTGCAAGGCAAAAGACACAGTCAACAAGACAAAAGGGCAGCTCACAGAATGGGAAAAGATATTCATCAACTCCACATCTGACAAAGGGCTGATCTCCAAAATTTACAAAGAACTCAAGAAGCAAGTCTCCAAAACACCAAAGGATCCAATTAAAAAGTGGGCTACAGAACTAAATAGAGAATTCTCAATAGAGGAGTCAAAAATGGCTGAGAGACACTTGAGAAAATGCTCAACATCTTTAGCAGTCAGGGAAATGCAAATCAAAACAACTCTGAGATACCATCTCACTCCCATCAGAATGGCTAAAATAAAAAACACTAATGGCAGTTTATGCTGGAGAGGATGTGGAGAAAGGAGAACACTCCTCCACTACTGGTGGGAATGCCAACTTGTACAGCCACTTTGGAAATCAGTATGGAGATTCCTCAGGAAAATGGGAATCAGTCTACCACAAGATCTAGCAATTCCACTCTTAGGCATATACCCAAAAGATGTACACTCATACAATAAGGACATCTGCTCAACTATGTTCATAGCAGCATTATTTGTAATAGCAACCTAGATGCCCCTCAACTGAAGAGTGGATAGAGAAAATGTGGTATGTCTACACAAAGGAGTACTACTCAGCAGAAAAAAAAATGGAATCTTGAAATTTGCAACCATCCCAAGTCTTTCTTGCTTGTTTGTTTTTAGTGTGAAAGAGCCCAAGTGTTATTTCACTATATCACATGAGAGTCAGAGTGTTAAGTTGACATTTTTTCTTTTGGCTGATCTATCCATTGCATGATAACAAAAAGAGTTTGCCATTAATTACCATATGTTGATTGTATAAAGCAATGGGTTTCATGTCATTTTTCTGCATGAATATAATATACCTTGATCATATTCACTCATCTGTTCCTCCTTTCTCCTCCCACATCCTTAGCAGTTCCTCTTTTATATATAAGAGAAAACATGTATCTGCCTTTTGTGAGTCTGGCTTATTTTATTAAAGTGATACTCGAGTCTACTCATATTCTTGCAAGTGGCATTTATTTCTTTTAAATTATTTTTTATTTATGGCTGGATAAGACTCCTTTGTGCATATATTTCATATGGCTAGCTATTCTTCCTTTGATGGGTAGGTACCTAGACTAATTCCATAACTTGGCCATTGTGACAAGTCAAACAATCAATGTAGGTGTGCAGGTGTCTCTATAATAAATGGCTTTGAAGATTCACCCAGAAGCTGACACTGAAATTCCCGATGGACCAAGGATATTCTCTGCTTCTCTGCCCCATGTTTTGTTTTGAGACCTTGACTGAGGCCAAACCAAGGTTCATAGATTCAACATACTTGTGCCTTAACATCACTTTCGGTGTGTCCTTCATTAGTGTGCTTGAACAAATTCTCGAGCTAATGACATGCATAGTTATTTGGGGGCAGTTTTTTGCATAGTAATTGGGAAACAGAAAGGGGCATCTATTCCCCCATCACCATTTTGCTTAACTTTTGAGGCAGATTAAATACAATAATGGAATCAATTTATCTCCTGTGGTAGTTTGAATGCATTTGACACCCATATTCTCAAAGTGAGTGTCATTCTTTTTTATTTTTATTATTTTTTAAATTTAAATTAGAAACAATCTTATTTTACATATCAATCCCAGCTCCCTTTCCCTCCCATCCTCCAATGACCCCCACGACCCCCATCCCATCCCTTTCTGCTCCCCAGGGAGAGTGGAAACTCCCATGGGGGGATCATCAAAGTCTGTCATTTGGGGCAGGGTCTAGGCCCTCCCCTATATGTCTAGGCTGACAGAGTATCCCTCTGTGAGGAGTGGGCTCCCAAAGTCCATTCGTACACTAAGGATAAATACTGTTCCACTACCAGAGGCCCCATAGACTTCCCAGGCCTCCTAACTGACACCCACATTCAGGGGGCCTGGTTCGGTTCTATGCTGGTTTTCCAGCTGTCAGTCTGGGGTCCATGAGCTCCCCATTGTTCAGGTCAGCTGTTTCTGTGGGTTTCTGCAGCCTGGTCTTAACACTTTTGCTCATCACTCCTCTCTCTCTGCAACTGGATTCCAGGAGTTCAGCTCAGTGCTTCCATCAGCTACTGGATGAAGGCTCTAGGATGGCATATAAGGTAGTCATCAATCTGATTATAGTGGAAGGGCATTTAAGGCAACCTCTCCATTATTGCTTAGATTTGTAGTTGGGGTCATCCTTGTGGATCTCTGGACATTTCCCTAGTGCCAGATTTCTCTTTAAACCTGTAACGGAAGTGGCATTATTAAGATATGTGAACTTGTTGGAGTAGGTGTGGTCTTGTTGGAGGAAGTGTGTCACTGTGGAGGAGGGCTTTGAGGTCTCATATATACTCAAGATACCTTCTGGTGTCACAGTCCACTTCCTGTTGCCTTCTGATCAAGATGTAGCCAGAACCACATCTTCTTGCATGCTGCCATGATGGTAATGTACTGAACCTCTGAACTGTAAGAGAGCTACCACAATTAAATGTTTTCTTTGTATGAGTTGCTGTGGTCATGGTGTCTCCACAGCAATAGACAACCTAACTAAGACACCTGCCTTTTCCATTTGTACGTAATTCTTACATTATTTATTTACTTGTGCATATGGCTGTGGGCATGTGTGTGCAGGGGTCAGAAGATGACTGATGGGAGTTTTTTTTCACCTTTCACCATCTAGGTTCCAAGAATCAAAATCAGGTTATCAGACCCTAAGCCATCTCACTGGCTTTGTGCTGAATTTTGGATATGAAAATAATTCTGGTTCTTTTAATTACATCCACCTATATTAAGAGTCTGATTCATTCAAACTTAGAATTTTCTTCTTTCTAATTTAATTTTATTTGGGTTTGCATTTTTGGTATTCTGGGAACTTAAATTGCTATAGGGTTCTTCACTAAAGTCATTTTTTTCTTATTGCTCCTAACTAAAATGTGAGGTTTCTCTTTAATCAGGTGTTTTGTCTGCACCCATTGTGTCGCAACTTTAGATGTATTCACGGTTTTTGTTGCCTAACTATATTTTCACATCTTTTTGTTCCCCTTTTTGCCTTGAATTATCACCACAAATCTAACTAAAAGCTGTAAGCAACAACTATGCTACAGCCTGAGTCTTACACTATTTAAAAATTTCTCTGGTTTAACCCATAGAAACAGCTGACCTGAACAAGGGGGAGCTCTTGGACCCCAGATTGATGGCTGTGTGGAAAGCATGGGACTGATCCAGACCCCCTGAATGTGGGTGTCAGTGAGAAGGCCTAGGTAATCTATGGGGCCTTGGGTAGTATTTACCCCTGGCATACAAATAGACTTTGAGTGCCTATGCTACAATATGGGAGGCTCTCTCAGCCGGGACTCTTGGGGGAGGCCCTGGTTGAAATGATAGTTACTGGAGATCCACCATGGAGTGCCCCACGCTCCTTGGGGATTGGACTGGTGATTGGGTGGGGGACTGGGGGTCCTGGTGGGGAGGGCCGGGGAGGAGGGGAGGGAGAAGGAGCTGGGATTGACATGTGAAACAAGATTGTTTCTAACCTAAATAAAAAAAATTAAAAAGATAAAAAATTTCTCTGCCATGTTACTTAGCCTATTATGTTTTAATTCTGCCTCACTCAGATTTTTGGGATGCAGGCAGACCATAACCAGATTTCCAGCAAGAATAACATGAATGGCCTCTGATCTCATTCCCTGTGGACTCCTTGTGTCTCTCTGACATTAGTATAGTCTTTGTGGTCCACATTTCTGTTGGCATTCTGCCTGCTGTGAGACAGGGCAGTAAAGCCAAACATGAGAAGAACGGCTTCTAGGACCCAGTTGAAGCTTTTTGTCAGCTGAGAAGCACAGATTATAGCACAAGTATCAACTGCTTAAGGTCTTCCCAGATGTACACCTGTAATTTTCTAGAAGCACAGATTCTAGCACAAGTATCAACTGCTTAAGGTCTTCCCAGCTGTAAACCTGTAATTTTCTAGGACTCTTGCCGGAAACTCTGTTATAGGGAAAGGACATGTACTAAACCCCTTGTGTTGCCCCAGTGGCTTCTGGTTTTATCTGATAAGATCACAATCCATCCAGCATCTCCAGAGCCATGCTTGCATCTCTTTGATCAAAGGAGTTGAAAAGGGAGGAAGAGGAGGAGGAGGATGAGGAGGAGATTTTGTAGCAACTTCTGTAGCTGTAACCTGAGAGCCACCAAAATGGTCTGCATAGATAGTGCTAAGAAATGAATCGCTCACCCCTTCCTTAAGAGATTGTCCTCACACTTAGATGCATCTTAGTTTCCGCTGCTGTCCATTGGGAGGCACATACCTCTATCTGTGGGTGTCTCGATTTCTTCTGAGCACCTTTATTTCTCATAACCCTTGTGCTCAAGTCTATATTAAAATATATTTAATAAAAGCTCTGATTCTTTTTCATAAACTGACTAGTCCTGAAGGTTCTTTTTCCATTTGAATCCTTGAACCTTGGTTTGGCGTCAGTCAAGATGCCTAAAACTCTAGGGGAACTCTTTAGGCTGCTGAGGTCCTATCTCACAGTTGGAGGTGTATGATTCTGTTTCCTTATCAGTGACATGTCACATTCCCCCAGTTAGGGCACTATAAGACTTGTTTTTAATCCTGCAGCTCCAAATTCTTCTGTGTTCCTCTCATAAATCAGCCCTGAAGTCCTATAAGTCACATGGGCAGGCTTACCACAGCAATGGTCCTGTTCTTGGTGCCAATTTTCTGGACCAGCCAGTTTTCTTATTGTCAAGCCTGACAGAACAATTTAAGGGAAAGGGAACTCATTTCTGGTCACAGTTTCATAGGAAGGCATGGTAGTTGAAGGGGCTCAGTTTCTGGGAACCTCTGGTGTGGTTTGTTTACATCTTTGTAGACAGTGTACTAGAGACCTTGGCCTTGAATTTGGGAGTGAACATCACCTTCAAAGCATGACGCAAGGGGTCCACTTTGCTTACTAGGTCACATCTGCTAAAGATTCCAAAACAGCATCTCCATCTGGGATGTATGAACCTATGGGGTACAGTTACATATAAACCTTAACAGTGCCATGTCCCAGTTTCCCATAATGCACCATTTCTTTCTTTTCTAGTCCACCAGTTGAATGAAGAGCTGAGGATACTATAGCTGGCCTCAGGTACCTGAATGGCTGGACAGAGCTGAGTTCCAGAACTTTGAGAATCTATGGGAATATGTTGAGAGATAACGTATATATTTGGGTGAGCTTTAGAAATACTAACACGCACCTGTTGCATCAACGTGTGCTGTTTGCCTTAACTCATACTATGGGTATTTTGAATGCCTCTGCTCCTGCTGTGCGCAGTTCCTCAGTCAGGAGAACGGGACAAGAATTATTACTGACTCATTCTAGTAATCATTACAGTTCTTATTGTTTCACTTTTAGTAAACAACCTAGGAGGTTCTGCTGGCATTTTAAGGGTTTGAAAAAGAAATCCCTGGGTTCTTAGTGCTAAAAAGCTTTTTAAAAATTAAATATAAAATAAACCCTTGAATCATAAATTCGTATCGTAAGTGTAGGCCTTTATTAGATAATGTAAGTACAGAGTGTTGATACTGATGTGTCCAGGGAGGTTGCATGGTCACATCTTTCCACCATTCATTAGTTTATTCATTCACTTATGTATACCACATATGGTATATACCATGTATGGTAGACACTGAGAACCAAAAGATAAATGAGACAGATTTAATTCTAATTGTCACATATACAATCATATATTCCCAGGGTAACCAGGAAAAGGGTGCTGATGTGAGGTCACTTTACAAGGGTAGTGCTATCAGCATCCATGTTAATGAGATTGTAATGTAATAAAGTGCCTGCTGTCTACTGCTCAACAAGTATGTGTCTTTAAGAACTCTCACTAATCATTCTGATAGACCTTTTGAAAATAGAAATTTCCAAAGAGAAAATCAAACTCCGACTCTAAATGGGGGTATCTGGTCTTCCCTGCTCTTATTTCCTTCGTACTCTTCAATAATAACTTTGTAAAAATATCCTTAGCTAGTTATCACTTCCCTTAGGTTAATAGCTAGGACTAGAATCCCTGTGTTATGTGATAGATAAGAGTTAAACTTGTCAAGAAACTACGATTTTAGACCTTTATTAGGATAGTTTGAGAGGCCATGCCTCATCTCACCAACTGATATTATATTAGTCTATTTTGCAGCTGAATCAAAATTCTTGACACTGAGTACTGTCAATCTTACCAGGAGAGAATAAGACTACTACCACAATTTTGAGTCAAATTTAAAGCAAGCTTCATTAAATATTGATCAGGATAATAGACAGTGTCCATGCCTGTACCCAGGATTCCCAGAGAATGGCACACGAATTGCATTATTTATGTGCTTATAAAGGCAAAACCTCCAAGGCTATGTACTTCCTGCCTTTGTCCAATTGACACACTTCCTGCTTATGTACCTCCTGCCTATGTGTGATCAAGCACATGCTGTGCAGTTGGGTCAACCAACCTTGTTTACAGAAGTGAAAACATGGGCTGTTTTCTTACATGAACAACAGCCCAAATATTTCAGGAAGTTTACTGTCCTTGGTCAAGTGGGCCTTACAGGTTAGAGATATTTCTGTTTTATAGATCTCTTAAGTACAGTAAGTAATTAAAACATAACTTTATCCTTCACAGTACTCTATAAAGAAAAGAGGGGTTTTTAGTTGACAGTTCTGGAAGCTGAAAGTCTAAGATTGGTTAGTCTATTCAGTCCAGCTTCTGTAGCTAATGGTATCAAGGCAAAAAAGCCAGAGTGCCAGGTCTGCTCTCTCCCTCCCCCCTCCCTCCCCCTCCCTCCCTCCCTCCCTCCCTCCCTCCCTCCCTCCCTCCCTCCCTCCCTCCCTCCCCCTCCCTCCCTCCCTCCCCCTCCCTCCCTCCCTCCCTCCCCCTCCCTCCCTCCCTCCCTCCCTCCCTCCCTCCCTCTCTCTCTCTCTCTCTCTCTCTCTCCCCCCTCAAGAATCAAACGATAACTACATAAATCCGATTATCTTTTAGTGGACTGCTCCTGTGATTCTGACACTTAAACACTGTACCATTAGACACCACAATTTCAGCACTTTGGGTGACACTAAAACCACATCCAAACCATAGCTTGGATTCTCAGGGTTTTTGTTGTTGTGATTCAGGATAAACTTGAAATAATAAAGTTGATATAAAATGTTTACTAATAAATTTGTTGAAGAATTACTAAGTTACACGTGATAGAATATACATAGCTGAAGGAGAGCTGCCTCCAATATTACTGGAAGGTAAGTAGTGGACTAACCTGACTTGTCAGAAACTGCAGGAAAGAAAAGTTTGGAGCAAATTGAGGGTTTGGCTACTGAGAAAGTTTCTACTAATATTTACTCACCAAGACTGATCCCCAGTTAGACTCCATTCTCATGATAAAAGGAGACAACACAGACTCAACCAGCCATTTGGTCATCTCCAAATCAAAGACTAGATCTCTAAAGGGCATCTCAAAGGGGTCAACCCATGATCACAATCCCCAGTGAGTACTGGTCTGCCATTAAGCATCAGGGAAAGCTTCCTTCTGCCAGGCAGGCAAGATGAACCTGGGTAACAACTGTGGAAAGGAATGACACGGATGCACTTAAGGACTATTCTGGCAATGTCTTTGCTGTGAGGCTCTTCCATCTGTCCAAGAGGTCTGCTTAAATTGTTCAAAGTGTAACCTGGGGCCGGGACCTGAAGGAGATCTAAGGATCACAGTGTATGTGATGTTGTGGGATACTTGTACACTGTATAAAAACGTATCCTTGTGATTGGTTTAATACAAAGCAGAATAGCCAACAGCTGGTCAGGAGAGATTAGGCAAGACTTCCGGGCAGAAAGAGGAACTCAAGGGATGAATCTAGATACAGCAGGAGATGCCAGTGGGACATGGAGGAAGTCAGACATACAGAATGGAGGATAAATAATAAGACATGTGACAAAATGTAGATTAATAGAAACAGGTTAATTTAAGCCACAAGGGTTAGTTGGGAACAAGCCTAAGCTAAAGGCCAAGCTTTCATAATTAATAATAAGTCTTTGTGTCATTATTTGGGGGCTTGCAGTTCCAAAAGAAAGTCTGACAAGAAGGCCTGACTACAATGTGAAATGCATAAGCCTGGGGTGTGTCTAAGTTAATAAAACCTTCTATTTGTGACTGGTTTTTCTTTGGGCATTAGCCAGAGAAGGACATGTGCTACATTAAAGACATAGTTCCTTTATTTTTTAAAAAACAATCCCTAAGTGTGTTGGATGATTTCTCACTAAGAAGACATATTAATTCCAGAAAAACTTTAATTTTGATGAAGTTCTGTTTATCTGTTGTCTTTCTTTTGTTGCTGGTGTTTTGGGCATTGTATCTTAGAAACCTTTGCTTAATCATAGTCACAAATATCTACACCTATATTTTTTTCAAGAGCTTTGTAACTTCAGTTTCTAGGTTCTGGACTATGAACTCCTTTGAGTATGGAGTGAGGTAATGGGTCACACTGATTCTTCTGCACATGGGTGTCCTAGGTATTTGGACACTGTTGAAAAGGTGTATCATCACTGAGTCATCTTTGCAATTATTGTGTTGAAGATCATCTGACCACAAATGTACAGATTATTTTTAGGTTTTCCGTCACTCCGCATTACCCTGTATGCCGATCCTTGAGCACAGCTTTTATAGGGTGATTCACTGAGGCTCTAATTTGTGTTTTCCTGATGACTAATGGCTGATTTGGAAGCTTTCTTCCTGCCTATTCTAGTCAAACCCTCACTCCACCCCACATCCAGGCATGTTTTGATGAGCTTCCATCGTAGATTAGCCTTAATTGTTCTAGAACTCTATGTAAAAGTAATGACACAGCATTCACTCACTTATTGGGCAACTTTCACTCAGCATATTTTTGACATCCATCCATGCATTTTGTGTGCTACTTCTTCAGAGTTATTATTATTATTATTACCAAAAAACCCTTTCTTAGATTTTAATTTCTGTTTTCATGTGAAAAATTCTAGTCTGTTGTTTACATTTCTCATCCAGTTGGTTAATCCGTATGGTTAGGGATATCAGACCTTTTTATTATTCCTTGATGACTGTGCCAGAGCCAAGGGTCATTTTCTTCACTTAAAAATAAAAATATCATGCAGTTAGATTAAGGTAGCAATTCACACATTTGTCCTGTTCTAAACACCGAAACCTTCTGTCTTTTTTCTAAAATATTTTCTGTCTTTTGTGTGTATGGGTCTTTGGCCTGCATCCATGTAAGTGTACCACGAGACCAGAAGAGGGTGTCAGATTCCTAGAACCAGAAGTACAGACAGTTGTAAGCCACAATGTAGTTGTTAGGAATCAAACCTGGATCCTCTGCAAGATCAGCAAACACTTTTTTTTTTTTAACAGTAAATCACATCTACACACACTGTTCTGGATGCTTTACTTGCATACAGTATTTTCAATCTTTCTTTTTTTCCCTTCTACAGTATTCTTTTTTCTTTTTTAAAATTTAAATTAGAAACAAGTCTGTTTTAATATCAATTCTAGTTCCCTCTGCCTCCCCTCCTCCTCTGTTCCCCAGCTGACCCCCTATCCCATCCCCTTTCTGCTCCCCAGGGAGGGCGAGGCCTTTCATGGGGGATCTTAAAAGTTTGTCACATCATTTGGAGCAGGGCCTAGGCCCTCCCCCATGTGTCTAAGCTGAGAGAGTATCCCTCTATGTGGAATGGGCTCCCAAAGTCCATTCTTATACTAGGGATAAATACTGATCTACTATCAGAGGCCCCATAGATTAACCAGACCTCCAAACTGACAACCACATTCAGGGGGTTTGGAACAGTCCTATGTTGGTTTCCCAGCTATCAGTCTAGGGTCCATGACCTCCCCTTTGTTCAGGTCAGCTGTTTCTGTGGATTTCTCCAGCCTGGTCTTGACCCCTTTGTTCATCACTCCTCCCTCTCTGCAGCTGGGTTCCAGAGTTCAGTTCAGTGTTTAGCTGCGTCTGCTTCTGCTTCTATCAGCCACTGGATGAAGGCTCTAGGATGGCATATAAGTTAGTCATCAATCTCATTATAGGGGAAAGGCATTTAAGGTAGTCTCTCCACTATTGCTTAGATTGTTAGTTGGAGTCAACCTTGCAGTCCCTGGACATTTCCCTAGTGCCAGATTTCTCTTTAAACCTATAATGTCTCCCTCTATTATGCTGTCTCTTTTCTTGTTCTCCTCTAGTCTTCCCCTGACTCAATCTTCCTGCTCCCTCATGTCCTCCTCTCTCCTCCTCTTCTCCCCTTCTCTTTCTCCTAACTCCTCCCCTCCCCCCATGCTCCCAATTTGCTCAGGAGATCTTGTCCTTTTCCCCTCCTTGGGGGGGCATGTATGTCTCTCTTGGGGGTCCTCCTTGTTTCCTACCTTCTCTGGTAGTGTGGATTGTAGTCTGGCAATCCTTTGCTCTATGTCTAAAATCTATATACGAGCGAGTACATACCACGTTTGTCTTTTTGTGATTGGGTTACCTCACTCAGTATGATGTCTTCTAGTGTCATCCATTTGCCTGCAAATTTCGAGATTCCATTGTTTTCTTTCTGCTGAATAGTACTCCATTGTGTAAATGTACCAAATTTTCTCTATCTACTCTTCAGTTGATGGGAATCTAGGTTGCTTCCAGGTTCTGGCTATTACAAATAATGCTGCTATGAGCATAGTGGAACAGATGTCCTTGTTGTATGAATATGTATCTTTTAGGTATATGCCTAAGAGTGAAATCAGCAAACACTCTCAATCGCAGAGTCATCTCTCTAACCTCTGTTTTCTTCTTTCTATACTCGTATATGCTGCCATCATTTTACATCTGACTTGTGCATATTCATGCAAAGGTCCTATTTATTCAAACTTTAAATTTTATTCTTGCTTTGAGTAATTAAAATATATAGAATACTTATGAGTTCCTGGAAAGCTTGCAAGATTATTCTTATTAGGGAAACATTCTTGACAGAAAAGGAAGTCTGTTCCTTCTCTGCACAGCTATTCATTTGCTGTGTTGGACTTTGCAGATTAATCTGGAAGCACTGGTCATGAAGGTACACATTTACTTCTCTGGTTACAAGAAAGAACAGCAATATAGAAAGAAACCAAAGTGAAGCTGGGCTTTCTGAAGAATAACTTTCTTTCATGCAATCTGCAGATTCTGGTCAGCTGTCTTCTCTTCACCCCACTCCACCCCCACCCCAGTTGTTACAGTTGAGTTTGTGGTACAACCAGTTTTCCCACCTTTACACTGAACTGTCTTTTTTTCTCTCTCCAAATAATGCTTGCCATGGGCAACTGTCAAATTAACCAGAGGTCCTAGACTCCCTTTGTTGCCCCAGGCTCTTTGCCGTTCTGTTCAGGCCTCACAAAGTCCAACTCCAACCAAGTTAGAGTTCAGTCAGGGAATCAAAAACAAAAACAGGAGTCTGCTGGGATACACACTGAATGGAAATGGCACTGTCCTAGAATTCCTCCCCAGAGGGAGAAGTGTCTCCTCCCTCCTCCTGTGGTGGGAAACCAATGAGTTTGTTAGGCTGAGGGGTTATGGGCTGAGGGGTGCTGGTAGCCTTTGAGCATTCACAGGGAAGGTCTGTTCTCAACATGGGTGATGAGGATGGCTGTGGATTGTGGATTCCTTGCTCCATATTCCCACCTGTATACTCTACCCCAACCCCACAGAACAAGTGTTTGAACCCCCTGTGGTGGAACTGTTTTTGGGAAGTTAGGTAACCTGTGGGGAGGTGAGGCATGGCTGGGAGGGGTGGATTATTTTTTGGTTGTGGGCCTAGCCTTTAATGGCTGAGCCATCTCTCCAGCCCAAGGGATGGGTGATTTTTAGGGGTGAGTCTTTGAGGGATGGGATCTGGCCCTACTTCCCGTTCTGTTTTCTGCTCCCTTTACCTCATCACACACTTCAGTGCTTCAGAGTCATTCTACCATGTCTGCCCCACAATGGTGGACTAAAAGTTATGAAACCATGTGCCAAAACAAACCTTTTTACTCTTCTGTTGGGCAGTTCGTTATGGCAATGACAAAAGCGAACTGGTATGACAAAGAAAAGAAGTTAAGAATGACACAATAACAAAATGAAAACCTCTAAGGAATGTGAGAGCTGGGGTAGTGTAGAACTGAAGCCAACTAACTATTCAAAAGTTCAAGACTGTATGGCCATTGTCCCCTTAGTCTCTTGGGATATCAACCATTCTTATTCTTTTATGTCTACAAATTCCTCATCACAGAACTAACACATTTACTGGCGCCCCCAGGTTTCTCTTCACAGACATACCATAACAGCTGCACCTAACATGCCTTCTTTGGGGCTTTCTACAGACCTGTGCACATACTCACTTAGGGGGTACACCTTTCTCCAAAGTTCTGAAGACCAAGTTATTCACCCATCAAATATTTATCTAGAGGATTGGCAGGTAGTGCATGCAAATAAACAGATTAAATTCCTTATCTAAAGACTTTGACTTCTAGATCAGGGGACAGAATGCAACAAGGGAGTGGAATGGAACACAGATGTGACCAGTGTGTTCAGATCGGCAGAGCTATGGAAGCTGTTTGGAACTCTTCCTCTGGTAATTGAAGGTTCAGAAGGATCCTACTGGATGGAAGAAAGCTTCAGGTTAAATAAGCTAGGTAAAAATGTAAGAATTCTTGAAGATGAGGAAATAATTCAGAGATTATTGGCTTGTGGATTTGGAGGTAGATGGTAAATGACTAGATAGAAATTAGGTCAGTACCTTGCCTGGACCAAAATGGTTACACTTAAAAATGGCTAAGATGGGAAATCTTATGTGTATTTTACCACAATAAAATCATAAAAATAAAATGTTCCCTTGTGTCTTTGGTTGGTCAGTCTACTCTTTCCAGCCCAGGAAAGAACTGATCTGCTTTCTACAACTATAAATGGGTTTTGCCAGGTCCAGATCATCTTGTAAGTGGAAGTATAACAAAATGAATTATGAATTTGAAAATGTTCCATGTTCTGTGTACCAGTAACCTTCTCAATATTGTAGCCCATCACACGGTGTGAACAGACTCAATTTGTCTATTTGTTGTCTTCTTGGCCCATAATTCAGTTTTTTTGGAGTGTGTCTGTTTAAGAAATATATTTAACTTTTATAACAATTAGGCTGCCAATTTATTTATTACAAAGCTGAAGTGAAGAAGGAGACACACAGAGAATAAATCATGGGAAGTGACACTGGGGTGTCCCCTAGTCCCAAGAAATAAGTCTAGCTTTAAAATTTAGTCAATGGCAAGAATAGAGTATAAACAGGGAGGATTATTCTTCCTTCCCAGACTGCTAATTGCTTTCTTCCTTTCCTGGGCTTCACCTTGTACATGGCCATCATTGAAAGGCTGCATTTCCTAGTTTCTCCTGCAGTTGTGTGTGACATGGACTAAGTTCTGGGAAGTGGGATTTGGATGGTGGTGCTCATGCAATTCCAGGCCACAACATGGTCAGTCATCCCCTTTCTTCCATCCCTTCTCTTCTATATGTGGACACGCTGGGTCCCTCTCAGACCCAAACACTCAACTGCAATACCCAAGGGATGACAGACCTATAAGTCACGAGGACCCCCCACCTTTGTGTAGAGGGCAAGATATCTATTTTGTTTGAGCTACTATTAACTGAGTTCTTGCTCAGATCACCACCACCACCATCATCTTCATCATCGTAATAATAATAAATATGACGGTGGTGGTGATAGGTGAAAGAGTTTAAAGTACTGACAGAATTCATGATGTACTAGGGGAGACGGATAAACACTTGGTAATTATGGTTCATAGTAGATCTTGGTAGTGGTTTTATTTCAGTAAAATAAAGCCTGGAGAAAGAGGTTTGAGAAGGAAGTGATTCATTTTTATTGTAGTTCTAGGAAAGAATATCTAAACAAACTGATAAGGGATTTGGACAATGTACTCAATTCTGATAACCAGAAGAGGATAAATAAATGTATTCCAGACAGGAACAAAATATGTGAAGACAAAAGACATGGAAGGATACGGCCCAGCCAGAGAATAACCAGCACCAAAGGCAGGAGGTTAGTATTCACTTACAGAGAAAGACAAGTCCCGTTATGTAGGGGCAAGAGTCTGATGGTCCTTGAGTGTGGCTCAGGAAATCTGGTTTCGGATAAGTTGAATTTGGGGTGTTTATGGGGAAAACTGTCGGGAGATGGAAGAAAGTGATTCTGAGTCGGGAAGGAGGTGAGCACTGATGTCTGTGCATCCTGCAGATCCAGGGTCTAAGTGCATTAAGTGAGGAAGACAGTGCAGAGTGAGCAGAGAGCCTGGGAGGGGAAACTGATTACCTCTTCAGGGATGGGAGGAGGTGGCACACAGGAAAGGGGTCTGAAGAAAACCTAGAAGATGACACAGGTGGGGAGAGACTGAGGGGAGCCAGTAAATGACCTCAGTTTACTTCCAGCTAATGCCAAGATTATTCTTTCATGACTCGGTGACCCTTTTCCCGGGGTCTGTTTTAGAGGCAAATCCCTCCAAGCATGTATTACCTCTGGCATTTCTTTTTCGATAGCTTTGGTGTGTTTCTCTTTCTCTTGACTTGTGACTCTGTTTACCGACAGCTAGAATCTTAGGGTGAGTGGCAACCATTCACAGTGTGTTGAGATGTGCTGCTAGGAGCTACCCATCGGCACAGAGGTGCTAACTTCTGTAGCTGCCCCGCTGTCTGTTGCTGACTCACAAATCTGAGGTCCTTTCTGAAGGGATGCAGGAATACAAAGGCTGGATCCTTGCATTTATCTGATACAATGTGAAGAATTTTTACAGCTCTAGAACTTTCCGCAGGACCAGTCATTGTCTCTCATGCAACTCCTTACCAACTCAATAACCAAGTCCTGTTTTCGTCACTCCCTTACAGGTATTTTCCTAAAAATATGTCAATAAACCTGCCTGAAATCATAGCCTCAGAGTCTAAGGGAATTCTATCTAAGACATTGGTCTTACGCTGTAGTAGCAGCTGTCAGGCAAACTAGCAATGAGTTGTAGCAGGCAGCATACAATTAGTGCAATTGTTTATTATTATTATTATTTATTTTTAATTTAAATTAGAAACAAGTTTGCTTCACATGTTAACCCCAGCTCCGTCTCCCTTCTCACAAACCCCCCAACTCCCCACCCAATCCTCATTCCACTCTCCAGGGAGGGTGAGGCCCTTCATGGGAGGGTCTCAAAAATCTGTCATATCATGCAGGGCAGGGCCTAGGCCCTCCCCCATGTGTCCAGGCTGAGAGAACATCCCTCCATGTGGAATGGGCTCCCAAAGTCCATTTGGATGCCAGGGATAAATACTGATCTAGTACCTGAGACCCCAAAGATTGCCGAGGCCTCATCACTGACACCCATGTTCAGGGGGTCTGGATTGACCCCTTTGCTCATCACTTCTCCCTCTGCAACTGGTTTTCAGGAGTTCAGTTCAGTGTTTAGCTGTGGGTGTCTGCCTCTGCTTTCATCAGTCACTGGATGAAGGCTCTAGGATGGCATACAAGGTAGTCATCAATCTCATTATCAGGGAAGGACATTAAAGGTAGCCTTTCCACTATTGCTTAGATTGCCAGTTGCTGTCATCTTCGTAGATCTCTGGAAATCTCACTAATGCCAGATCTCTCCTCAAGCCTATAATGACTCCCTCTATTATGGTATCTCTCATCCTGTTCTTCTCTGTTCTTCCCCTGACTCAACCTTCCTGATTCCCATGTCCTCCTCTCCCCTTTTCTTCGCCCCCTCACTTTTCTCCAGCTCCCTCTCTTCTCCCCCATGCTCCCAGTCCACTCAGGAGATGCTGTCTTATTCCCCTTCTCTGGGGTACCATACATCTCTCTCTTAGTGTCCTTCCTGTTTCTCAGACTCTCTGGCAGTGGGATTGTAGACTGGCACACCCCTGCTTCATGTCTAAAATCCATATATGAGTGAGTACATACCATGTTTGTTTTTTTGTGACTGGGTTACCTCACTCAGTGTTGTCTAGTGTCATTCATTTGCCTGCAAATTTCGAGATTCCATTTTTTTCACTGAATAGTACTCCATTTCTCTATCCACTCTTAAGTTGAGAGGCATCTAGGTTTCTTCCAGGTTCTGGCTATTACAAATAATGCTGCTATGAGCATAGTGGAACAGATGTCCTTGTTGTATGAATGTGTATCTTTTGGGTATACACCTAAGAGTGGAATTGCTGGATCTTGTGGTAGACTGATTTCTATTTTCCTGAGGAATCTTCATACTGATTTTCAAAGTGGCTGTATGAGTTGGCACTCCCACCAGCACTGGTGGAGTGTTCCCCTTTCCCACATTCTCTCCAGCATAAACTATCTTTGGTCATTTTGATTTTAGCCATTCTGACAGGAGTGAGATGGTATCTCAGAGTTGTTTTGAAAAAAGAAAGCATCTTCAACAAATGGTGCTGGCATAACTGGATGCTGGCATGTAGAACACTGCAGATAGATCCATGTTTATTGCCATGCACAAAACTTAAGTCAAAATGGATCAAAGACCTCAAAATAAATCCAGCCACACTGAACCTCTTAGAAAAGAAAGTGGGAGTTGCCCTTGAATGAATTGGTACAGGAAACCATTTCCTGAACATAACACCAGTAGCACAGATAATGAGATCAACAATTAATAAATTGGACCTCCTGAAACTGAGAAGCTTCTGTAAGGCAAAGGACACAGCCAACAAGACAAAAAGGCAGCCCACAGAATGGGAAAAGATATTCACTATCCCCAAATCTGACAGAAGGCTGATCTCCAAATTAACAAGGAAATCAAAAAGCATGTCTCCAAAAGACCAGAGGATCCAATTAAAAAGTGGGGTACAGAACTAAATAGAGAATTCTCAATAGAGGAGTCTAAAATGGCTGAGAGACACTTAAGACATTCCTCAACATCCTTAGCCATTAGGGAAATGCAAATCAAAGCAATTGTTAAAATAGATGCATGCTAAGCCTTGTCAGCAGAGGGCGCTGGAGAGTCACCGCAGGAGAAGGTTTTGTTTGTTTTTGCTCCTCTAGCTCCCCGATTTGCTTGTGAAAATCTTCCACATTTGACTCTGTAACTTGCCTGGCTTCTGTCCTATCCAGCTCCTGAATGCACAAAGCAATATTCCCTAGGCTGCAGGACATACTACGGCCTCGTAGGCAGTTTCTCTATGTATTCCTGAGTGCAACTTTTTAATGATTCACCATGAGGCTTGGAACTTCCTTGTAGGTGACTTCCCTAAGTACCTGGAAGTTCTTCTGGCATGGCGCCCAAGAAAACTTTTCTACTGTTTAGTGAGCCATGGTTATTTAATTTCCAACAAGACCTTGATCTTAGCCTTGGAGGGGTGGGGCAGGATCTTATCGGAGGCCATATCTCAGCCAGTGGTTGTGGCTGTTCTCTATGTAGGCAGTACTTGCAGTGAGAGGTCTCTTTACTCGTTCCTGGATAATCCCGCATTGCCCTTTTTGTCTGGTATATTAATTCCTCATATTATGCCTTCCACTTTCAGATAACTGTAGGTGTTTCCTCTCCTGACGGGCACCTGGATGACGCACTTGTGGCCAGAACCATGGTTGGACTCTCCATGGGGACCTCAAGCAAGAATCAGTTCTACTCACCACTCTAGCTGTCTCATGAGGCAAAGAGAAGAGATGTTCTGATTTCCCACTTATGTCTCCTTTCCAGTTTCCCAGTCTTCTGTCTCTACCACAGTTTTTCCCTTGACAAAATCCCACTGGAAATAAGTTAACACTGGGAATGTAGAACATTCGTGCTCTCAGGGATGGCAGGTCCTCTGTTTTGGAGATGGCAGGTCCTCTAATCTCAGTGATAACAGAGCAGATGGAGGTGAAGACAGCCCTGAGGACAGCCAGGATTGACAGTACCCTTCAGTAGTCATTGATTCTACCAAGTTCATCAACAGACTCTGCTTAGCACTTTAGTGAATCAATACATTTCACCCCGCATCCCTGGCACACATAAGAGACTTTTCTGAAACCTTACTAGGAAGTAGGACATTCTGAAATCTTCAGCCATCAATAAAGCTAATGCCTGTGACTATACCCTTTCATTTAGTAAATTAAATAAGTAGTCTAGAAAAAGCACTCTATGATGAAGGTACGTGAATAATTAATTTAAAGACAGCACTTGCATAAAATAGAACAAGAGATGCTGACAAGAAGCTCAGAGGAAGGCCAATACTAGGACAATAATTTTGAAGTTATTTGATCCACTAGCATTCTTTTAATCAAAAAATGTAGCTGGAGTGTGGTGATATATTGCTTATGATCTAATAAAGCTTGCCTGGAGATCAGAATACAAAGCTATCCACAGCCACAGAATCTGGGCAGTGGTGGCCCACACCTTTAATCCCAGGACTCAGGAGACAGAGGCAGATGGATCTCTGTGAGTTCAAGGTCACTCAAGACTACATGAGAGTGAATCAGTCTAAAAGAGAAACAGAGTTCACACCTTTAGTCCCAGCACCAGAGAGGTATATAGATAGGAGTAGGGCATTCAGTATTCAGTCTTAGGCAATTAGTCTCCAGCTACTTTGAGATCAGGATCTCCCCAGTCCTGGTAAAGGTTAAGAGTTCTCTGGTAGCTTGGATGCTTTGCTTCTCTGATCTTCAGCTCGAACCCCAATATCTGTCTCTGTCTATGGATTTTTATCATTTGTGCTATACTGGAGACCTGGAGTCTCAAGATTGTTGATCTCATCACATTAGAAAGAAACCCAGGGGCTAGAGAGATGGGGCTCAGTGGTTATGAGAGGTTGCTTCTCTTGCAAAGGACACAAGTTTGGTTCCCAGAACCCACATAAGGTGGCTCATAACTATCACTCTAGTTGCAGAGGCTCTGATATGCTCTCTGGCTTCTGTGGACACCTGCATGTATGTGATAAACACATGCAGGCACACTTACACACACACACACACACACACACACACATAAAATAAAAAATAGACAAATCTCCGAAAAAGACATAGAATTTTTGAAGAGAATGAATAAGTTCATCTTGTTTCCAGCACTAGGAAGTTTGCATTTCCTTTTGTCTCACCTTATTCTCCAAATAATTAACCAACACAATCATCCTTTCCCAAAAACAATATGAGAAAACATTAAAGAACAAACCCCAGAGTGCCAGTCACGAGGCCTCCCAATCAGTGTACTCTTTCTTTTAGGTCAGAAAGGTCTGGGACTTGGTGACCTGAAGACACTGTAACATGCCAAGAGAATTACTACTACACTTAATGACATTTGCCACACCCAGATGGCTATTGCTGCCATAGGCTTGCCTGAGTACCAGGCTTTTTTCTTCTCAGAAATCACTGGCAGAATGGAGTTTGGATGAGTATCTTCTAATTTATACCCACTTGCTTTTTGCCAACAAAACTGATTCTTCTCCTGTTACCTTGTGTCTTGAGTTTTTATTGGCTGGCAGAAGAGTGGACTTCTCATGATTACTAATTTGTCTGACCAACCAGAGCCAACCTTAGACTGGGGGAATACGTCCATTAGTTCCCACAGCTGTTAGGGTTCCTTAGTCTTACATTCCTTGAAGTTGGATGCCTTTCACATTGTGATGGAGTGAAGCAATGGCCAGGGAAAACCACTGGTTTTCTCTGGAGTTGGGTTAGTCACTTGGATGTGCATACTCAAAGATTGTCTTCACCTCTTTCTGGACTCTATTTCCCTATTCCGTGTGGAAAAGGAGTAAGAGTGAGGGCTTTGCCTTTTCTAGTTTGTTCTTTCTTGGTCTCTGCCCTGTCATTGTTTCTGTGTTGCTGAATGATAGGAAACATGTCATCAGTTTTCATCAAGAGCCCTCTGGGTTTAATTTTGAATAAGTGGGCTGAAAACAGCTATGGTTCCATGACAAAAATGATGTTTTTAAATTGGTAGTACTGTCTGAAGATCTCAAGAGGGATGATCAGTAAGGGATTCCCTATCCATTACAGCATTTTACACCTATAATTACTCTGCCAAGAGGAAAGAAGAAAAAAAGATGAGTTCCCTTATGTGAAAGGTTTCATGCTACTCTATCAAGACAAGAAAGGTTGGATAAATAGGATTTTGTTATGTTCAAAGACCAGGGTGGGAAAATGGAGAGTAAAATGGAGAGTGAAGAAGATGGAGAATTGGCTTAATGCTTTATCTTAGCCTCCCTGTCTCAACTACACATGCTACAGAGGCACAGAACAAAGCACAGAACTACCATGTGGGATGGGGGCTGAAGTGTGCTCTGAGATTTTCAGAACACTGGATAGGGTTTCTCCTCCCTGGTCCCAACAAGGAATAAAATTCAAAGGAGGAGCTGCACTGCACTGGAAATGGGCAGTCTCCATCATTCCAGTCCCCAGCAGAAGCAAATGCTCATGGAGAAGTAGATAAAAATTTAGCATCAAGATCTGTCCTTCACATCAATCTGGAGACACAATGTGTATATGGAAGTCTAAATAATTTTACCCCTGAAGCCCTAAATGAAAGCACTCAAAGGATTTCTTTAATCTACACAGAAGCCTAATGAGGAGAGCTGTTCTCCAAATCTGAATGGCATTAGACACTTTAACTGCAGCTCCAGGAGGGACATGTGTGATTGTGATGGCTATTCTTGGTTGTCAACTTGACTACAACTGGAATTAAGTAAAACCCCAAAATGAAGAGCACACTTGTGAGGGATTTTTGCTTAGTTAAAGTAGGAAGATCCAGTTCTAAGGAAGACACACCTTTAATTCAGATTATTTGATCTGGGAAAAGACATATCTTTAGTCTAGATCTTTTGAGCTGGGGAAACCCACCTCTAATCTGGATTCTTGTTGGGTTAGGTGGACCACAGACTATAAGTCATTCTAATAGGTGTTCCCCCCATCTCTCCCACCCATATGTTGTTACTCTAGAGAACCATGAATAATGCAGTGACTTTACTGAAGTTGAATGCTGTGTATATATTCCAGATAACTCAGAAAAAATGTCTTTTTAGTCCTGTAGGGAATGCACACCCAAGTAAAGGACATAGCTGATGACTCCACTTTTAGTTTCAGTGAATGGTTTAAATAATCGTTTGGGGGACACTCTTACTGGATCTGTCATGAATCATTTGCACAGGCCTGATGTATGCTGTGAGATGTATTGTTATGATGGGATGATGTCCTACCCAGGGACAGAATTAAACTAAGGGCCATACAAGGAGGCCAATGTCACAAGACATTAGAAAAATAGAGAACTTTGTCCTTTAATTGTTTTTGATTGGCAGGTCTCTTTGTTCTATATACTGAGACCCCCTTATTAATCCCTGTCAAGCAGGTGTAGCCCCTCAGCCTTCTCCTCATTTGTGATGAAACACACTGACAGTGGGGAGTGGAAGGTAAGTGTGCTAACTTGACCTCAGCAACAGTAAGTCTGTTAGTAAAGTCCATGAATGGTTAGCTCCCCCTAGTGCTAATAAGTCTGTCATTTACTTTGTTTTCCTCTGTCTGGATCTCAAAATAATGAATGGATGCGGTCATCCATGACTGAAAAGAATGGAAGCAAACACGAAGGAACACCTATCACGTGACATAATCAGTAACCTTTTGGGATGTTATTACAAAGCTGAGTGACCATTGCAGTGCTCACCTGGCTGTGGCTAGAATCAGACCCCTAGAGATCCTTACTACATTTTTATACTTAAGATCTGTGGAAAGATGGAGTTAGGGTGAAAGCCTCCATTTTCCATCTGCCAGTTCACAAATAAAGTCCCCTTCCCCCCATCACCAACTCCATCCGATAACAGAACTGGAGGTTTCACAGTTAGGGTCCCACCTTGTGGTCTGATGGATATTTGTAAATTTACCTACTTGGCAACTAAAACACTTTGAACAATAAGCAGGAAATAAGGACTATTTTGTACTTATTTTTTTAGCAATTTTAAATGAGGTAGGATTGAAATAGCATAGTTAATTTATATAAATGTATCCCCAAGGGAAAGCTGAGCATTGGAATAATTGGTGATGCCCATAGTCATTAAAACAACATTTCTGCATAATACACAAGAAAAGTGAATCAGTAAGATGGATGTTTTGGTATTACACACAAGATTAACAAATGGGTTTTTGAGGTACCCACAGCAGAAAAGTCAGCATTTTTGAACAGTCATTTGAGTGAATGAGCACTTACTACTGTGCTCATCAACATTCTTAAAACATATTTCAAATGACTGTCACTTGGTATTTTGAATATTGACTTAGTGTCAGAATTATAATTTTAAAAAAGAAAAATACAAGGACTTTAGAAAGCAAATGAGACATCTTGTTTCTTCAAACAGGACATGGTGGGAGGCTGGAGAGCTGGTTCAGCAGTTAGAACTCTCGTTCCTCTTGCAGACAAGATATTCATACACGTAAAAGAAAGAAAACAGCAACAGAGTGGACGTGGTGTAAGGAAGCCGTGGCCTAAGTGGTCTTCCCTATCCTTCACGGCTTGACTTTGCACCTCTGCAGGGCTAGAACCTCAGCTGGCAGCTTAGCCAGTGGTGATTTATCCCCCAAACCAGAAAAGTTAATTCATAGAAAAGCAGAATTGCCAATCTTCTGATAGTCACTTAAATCATTGGGACTCTCATCCCAGCAGAGGAGTTAACTTAACGAACTCAACACTGAGAGCTCACTTGAGAGCTCTCACTAAGCTTGGTGAGCACCTGATCCCAGCACTAACCACACCAGTAACTTTTCTGGTATATAAAATGTCTAGGTAGAGACTGTCATTTACAATACTGCGTTATAATTTACATGTTTCTTTGACTACTTCATTCTCATAGAACTATAGCAAGTAATGGGTCTGGTGTTAACATTATTAAGCCTCATTTATTAATTTTAAAAAATTATTTTTTCCAGCCCAATCACAATCCCCCTCCACCTTCTCTTAGTCCCTGCCCCAACCACAACTACACCCCGCATTCACTTCTCCTTCTCTCTCTTCAAAAAAGTACAGTCCTTCCATGTATATAAGCTAGCTGATGTATACCAAGCTACACTGAGACTAGACACCTCCTTTCCGATCGAAACTGGGCAAGGCAC